CTGCATGTGGCGGTATACAACGGATTATAATCGGACATCGTCTGGGCAGAAATAAATGTCAATCTTCAGAGGTACGTATGCGGGTCGGACAGGACTGGCATGCATGTGGTATTGTATACGCGATTTAGAGTCGTCATTATCAGGGCAGGATTGATACGCGAGATGAGACTACTCGCGTCCAAGATGTCAGACGAGAGGAACCCAGACGCTTTCGGCAACAGTACGCTTCGAGCCCAGCCGAGGAGTGGGGAAGGGAGCTACGACCAAACTACTAGGAGATGGCGAATACTGAGGGTTCCGCCGTGAGCGCCGACAGACCGCATGAGTTCAAAAATCCTCGCTGTATATGGCATTGTATAACGGATTTCATGAAAAGGTAAGTAGGCGGGTCAGGAATGACTGGCCTGTATGTGGCCTTGAATAAGGCAAATAAGTGGCGAACTGAAAACCAGTCTCGAGGCGATAGGGACACAGGTGCGATCGGTATCATTCATCCGAGTCTATCCGAGGAGGGGGCAAGGGAGATGCGACCAGACTACTAGTATATGGCGAATACAGAAGGTGTCGCCTAGAGAGTCGATGGAGCGCATTATGTGAGGGCACGATGCATTAACTCAAAAATTAGAAAAATTGACATTTCTGGCGAGGAATCTTAGGAAGATACACGACTCACAAAGGACGGAAATGTGAGCAGATACGGAAAGTTAATGGCGGCGTCCAAAAGTCCTAACGACCCTTTCTCAATGTCATAGAGAATGTTGTCCGGGAAGGATGACGAAAATAAAAGCTTAATCGAGTCAGTATCCAGATAAAGGCGTAGACTTCTCTTAAAAGTGTGTATATTATCTGAAGATCTTATATTTATTGGAAGGTTATTCCAGAGGAAAGTATATCTGGAAGCGAAAAAAGGGAGCGCTTAGAGGTGGAGGACGCTGGAGGAGGTATAATCAAGGAAGAGTTGCGAAGATTTTATGGGCGACTACTAGGGGGTAAGGGCTGAAATCTGAGGAAGATTTTGACAATTATTAATGCGAAAGAGGAGGCTGAAGCTTGCTTCTAGTCTTCGAACCCATAAAAAGTTTAGGCTAATAAGCTGGCATCTATCTGAGTAGGAGATATTGGGATGTTCCTTATTTAAAAGTTTTTTAGAAAAACGTCATTGGACATTTTCAATTTTTAAACGACTAGCCTCATTCATCAAACCAAAGAATGGGCAACAACACTCGAGAATGGGAAGTAAAAACATACGATAGGGCCTTAATCTAATTTCAGGAAGACATAAATTGTAAGAAATAAAACCACATATCTGGGCAGCTTTGGCTGTTATTCAGCCAGCGTGTGGCGAGAGATCAAGATTATTAATGTAGCTGAAACCTAAATCCTCCATGGTGGTACATTCTGTCATAGGTGTGCCTTGAAAGACCGCTGGTTGGAGTAGACTCTCAGATCTGAAACACATATAGCGACATTTAGACGGAGAGAATTCCACTAGCCATTTTGAGCTGCAAGCTGAGAGCAAACAAGAAGCATGGATTTGCACCAGGCAATGAAGGCACATAGATTTATTGAAAAAAATATACACATTTGAGATCTTCGGCATAAATAAATGATTGAGAATATTTAACTGCCACCGAGATATCATTTATTAAAGCAGGAACAAAAGAGAACCTAAGACGGTGCTTTGTAGGGCACCACTTAAAATAGGGCTTTCATTGGAAAGTGAAGATCCCACAAAAACCTTTTGTTCACGATTAGACAGCTATGACTTGATAAAGTCTATTAGTGGATTGCGGATTCCCATAGCTTCTAATTTAACCAAGAGTCTTTTATGTGGCACTTTATCAAAGGCTTTACTAAGATCAAAATATATAACGATAACAGATGGATGGTCATTACAAAGAGAAGTAAGTAGATTGAGAAACGACAAATGACATGTTTCACAAGAGCGATCCGGTAAAAAAACCATGCTGGAAAGGGCTAGTCACTTGATTGGCTATGCAAAAGTCGGTAATTTTTAAGGCGAGAATTTTTTCAAAGCTTTTAGCGACATAAAGCGTTTTATGGACTGCTCGATAGTTCTCAACTTCAGAACGACAGCCAGACTTAAATACTGCAATAATAATAGAAGTTTTCCAATAGTTAGGAAAGCAGCCATTTACGAGGAATACTGAAAAGAGTTTGCTAAGCAGAGGAGGAAAATCTCATAGCCGTTTTATAAGAGAGTTTGGGATATTGTCCGTACCTACTGAGTGAGAGTTAGGAAGATGGTTTATCAGTTTTTGAATAGTCTCAGGTGAAAAAGTAATGATGCTGAGAGATGCATCAGACAACGGAGGAATTAAAGGGATTGGGTCGGTTTCGATGGTGAAATGTTTGGCAAAGAATGAATTTAACATTTATGCTTTGTCTGACTCCACTGTAATGAAGGCATCGTTGGTACTAAGCAAAGGGCGTAATGACTTAGTGGGATTTAGTAGATGATCTTTGACGGAAGATCTCAGCAACTGATTTAGAGGCATTCACGTCATTAATAGCTAAGGACTCTCTACGCTTATCTCGCGCAAGTCTCATTTTAGAAGCTAATTCAGATATTTCGACGACTATTAGATGAACTGATAATGAGCTCACAGAAGGATCTTTAAGCTGCTTCTGTAGCTTTCTTAAGTCGGTTTTTAAGAAAGTGTGGGACAGCGGTGGAATTAGCACTCGATTTGAACATCTTCCGAGGAATAAGGTCAAGATGACTTTCTGTTACATATTATAATATATTGTTGAAAAAATTAGGTCATCAATTTAAACAATTTTATAATAAATAAATAAATAAATTTTAATTTAATGCCAGTTTACAGGCATTGTCAAGGGAAGCGATTAAACACAAATCCGACCAGCAGTGAAAAAAAAACTCCTGAGCTTAAGGCATAAAAATATAGTTGATGGTGGTTTTTGTNATGCGCTCCCTCCATAGCAGATAAGTGGCTCGGAATGTTTCGCAGTACGAAATTATGCTTGCGTTTAATTCGTTCCTCAGTTTCCGAACTTATTACCCCAATAAGTTTAAAAGCTTGTTCAAGCACTTTTTCAGAAGTGCTGTTTATGTCTCCATAAATCAGCTGATCGATTATTTCGCCGGCTGATGGCCTGCTACGACTAGCAGAGGCGTATTTTTGGACGACTGAAGGGTCGAGAGGTTCTACATGTACTAAAGGGATTTGTGAGCTAATCAGATCTGCAGACGGCGAAGAACATACGCTGGCGTCTGCCATGTCTTCAGTCACGATTTTAGCACCCAGAGACGGTGGGGAGGCCGCAAGCTTTCGCCTTTTAGCACGTGCTCTGCGGGGCATTACAGACAAAAAAAGTTTTGTGCCAATCAAGAGTGCTTGTAAAGTTATTTACTTATTCCTTGTTAATATTAGCAAAATCAAAAATACAACGTTGACCTGTTGGCTTTGCGGAATTGGCAACTGGAAGGCGACAATGAATTAATGCATGATCACTTGCGGAGAGGTCATGATAGAGACCCATAGATAGAGGGAAGGTGCCATTAGTGAAAATCAAGTCTAATACATTATCTTTTCTGGTCAGAGTGAATTAATGGAGACAGGTTTTAAAAATGAATAGTGTCCAGAAGCTTCTGGAATTTAAGAGAGGAAGTATGTGTGTGCCAGTCAATTTCTGACAAATAAAAATCGCCTAGGATGATCTTGACATCGAAAGAAGTCTCTGCAATTTTATCAAAGAGTTCACAGAGTTGGCTTTTATTTCCGGAGTAACAAGGAGGATTATGTACACATTCGACTAAGGCTTTCATATTTTGCGGAAGTATTATTGAAGCGAATCATAAATTTCCAGAGAAGGAGGAAATGTTCAAGTCATAAGGCGACTGTGCAAGTGAGGCTCTGATGTAAAGAAGGCAGCAACCGCCACGTCTTTCGACTCCATCCTGGCGGTATAAACTGAGGCTATCTATATTGAGAGCCGAGTCTGAAATTAGGAAGTGAGCCCTAGATTCAGTAATGCACAATACGTCTGGGTCAAACTCAACAGCCACACTTCTTAGTTGTGCCATATTTTGCACGACTGATCTTGCGTTGAGATAGACCATACTGAGCGTATTCCTAAGACGTAGGTTCCGCTCATTGCTACTTATAAAAAGGAAGAGCTGGTGGTGGAAAATTAAGCTGTTGGGACGAAGTAATAGGTGGAAGACAAAGTTGCTGTGGTCTAAAATTTGTTGGGTATTTACCACTAACTAGAGATGCAGCATTACATGGAAAAATATTTGAGGAGGACCCTGGAAGAGGAAAGCTATTTTGTTGGGTTGGAAAAATAAGAGGCATGACAATAGGATATTGTGAATTGTTTTAAAGTTGTGAAAATCCCCATAACTATTTTCAGAAAAGACAGTGGCCAGCGAACTTCCCTTTCGGTAACTTCTCATCAGACCAATACAGTTACATAGGACGGGGTACAGTGAGTGGAAAAAAAATCGATGAAGTTAGTTTTTAAATTCCAGGCTGGGCAAGAGCGGAAGGGCGCAGAAAGTTTTATGTGGTTAGTCAACATTTGACAATGGTAAGCGCGGAGCCTGAACAAGGTTCTTTTGGGCGCATAGGGTCGGTTTTCGTGCGTGCCAAGGATGGCGCTGTCTAATCTTCTAGTTTCCCCCTTTGCCAGCCATGCGGGAAGGTGCTCTCGTATTTTTTTGGAAAAGCGCAGACTCGTACGACCAATATAACCTTCTCCGCAGGAACGAATGAATGAGTAGATGCACATTGAGGCGGTTTGAGGTGGCAGCCTATCATTGCCTTCTTCGCGTAAAATAGGGTTAGTAGAGAATGATATGCGAACCCTTGCTGCTGGGAAGGTTCTCGAGACAGCAGGCGTCCTCGTAGGAGTTCACTTGCAGCGTCTCCTTGGAAGGGACTTTGAGGAACAACGTTTTCTTTTCGGTGGTTAGTGTGGTGGGTTTTGCGAGTCGTTCGGCAAGGTTCTTTGCAATGTACCTGTCAGGTTACCCATTTTCGAGAAGTAAGTTCTGGATTTTTCAAAGTTCATCCTCAATACTATCTGTTGAACAAATTTTTCTAGCCCTTTGTGCCAAACACCTGACTAGATTCCGTTTTTGTTGGAGAGGTATTAAACTAGCGAAGTTTGTGTATTGTCCAGACCAGGTTTTCTTCCGACAGACGCTCCTCCGGATGCTACAGTCAGATCTCCTGTTTGGAAGGGCATCTAAGAAAGGAAGTGAACCAGCCGATTCCACCTCCAACGTGAAATCGGTCAACTGATGGCGCCTTGACCAAGCTCTCTCGGGAACCTTCCCAGCACCAAGGGTTCGCATATCATTCTCTACTAACCCTATTTTACGCGCAGAAGGTCAGGATAGACTGCCACCTCAGACCGCCTCAATGTGCATCTACTCATTCATTCGTTCCTGCGGCGAAGGTTATATTGGTCGTACGAGTCGGCGCCTTTCCAAAAAAATACGAGAGAACCTTCCCGCATGGCTGGCAAAGGGTAAAACTAGGAGAATAGACAGCGCCATCCTAGCGCTTCTAGTGGATTCAGGGCATCGTGTGGACCCCGCTGAAACATTTCGTGTGATTTACAAGGTCCCCTCGAGCTACCCTAAGCTACTGGGCCAACGCCTGTTAGCAGCAGCAGAAGCGGCCGCCATCAGGTTACGAAAACCGACCCTATGCGCCCAAAAGAACCTTGTTCAGGCTCCGCGCTTACCGTTGTCAAATGTTGACTAACCACATACAACTTTCTGCGCCCTTCCGCTCTTACCCAGCCTGGAATTTAAAAACTAACTTTATCGATTTTTTTCACTCACTGTACCCCGTCCTATGTAACTGTATTGGCTTGATGAGAAGTCACCGAAAGGGACGTTCGCTCGCCACTGTCTTTTCTGAATATTGTGAATTGTTAGCATAATATGAGGGGTAGTTTATGTTAGGTAGCTGAAGTAATGGTTTTGAGAAACAGTTTATTTGCACTTTACAGGCTGGTGTGCAAGTGGGATTCGCAACAGAGGTGTTTACATTAAGTTGAGTATTCGGGATAGGAACAGGTAAAGATCTCCCTGAACTATCATCTGGCTTATTTGACCTAACCGCAAGGTCAGACCTGAGTGTCCAGGCCCGGGAACGGGATAGATTTGATTTAGGATTAGTAACTAGTTTATTAGTCTGAGTGCTAGGGGTCGCTTGTTGTTCTAGGATTGGTTCATCTTTACTGTTAATATGAAGCTCCCTCGTAAATTTGGGAGCCGCATATGAGCAATCCTTGCTTCTTGGGGGCGTTTTAAAGAGGCTGGTATCAACTGCCTCAGTGATAATGTGCTCAGTTGAAGAGCTAGATGGAACTGGGGCCACTGCAGATGAGGGGGAGTTATGGTTGAAGCCCGATGGAGAATCTGCAAACGGCAAACGGCAGATGAGTAGAATTGTATGGTGGCTTTACGTTTGTTAATGGGGGGAGAAGCTCTTTGTTGCAGTGGCGTTTTATCTCGACTAATAAAAAGTTTATTTCCCCTGACATATTGAGCTGAGCGCTCCAATTGGGAGAAAATAAAGTTCACTTCTATCTAAGAGCATAGTTTGACAAGAATTGGCGGATTTTTGCTCCTAGATGAAAGTCTTTTAGCTTCAGCGACTCTAAAGTTGAAGCCGCTTGAGTAAAGAAAGTGGAAAGCGACATCAATTGGCTGTCTACCTTTAGGAACGTTTTTTAAAATAAAGTTAAAACTTCGTTTGTGCCTGTCTTTGGCCGCACTAGCAACCAGGTCAATGAGAGGTATAAGCTTCTTACACTGCTGAGACGTAAGTGTTGGCAACTTTCCTTCAAGAAGGGCACCAAGAATAGAAAAAATTGATCCATAAAGCGACATATAATTGTTAAAATTATCGAGTGCTCCTAGGTCTGTTTTCTTCATATGTACAATGGGTTTTAATTGGAGTTTAGTATCCTTCAGATTTCGACGAAGGGTTGCCTGAGGTTTCATGTCGAAAAAGCAAAACAAAACTTCAGTCCAAAAGTTTATGGCGATGATAGCTGCCGAAACTTCGAGGAGATATGAATGAGGCTATGTATGATGAAACAAGTTCCAATTGATACAAAGCAATTTTAACTCAATAACGGGATGCAAACTTGAAAAAAACGGGTAAATGACAATAATGTAGGTGGCAAAACAAAACCGTGAGTAAATTTGAAATGGATAATGAGGCTATGTAGGATAACATAGAGAACAATATCGTTCTCTTACTAGTCAATAAACCGACGATAAAAGCGGTCAGTGGAGACGGTTTATCGTTTAAAATATAATGCTATTGAAAATTTTCCGAGGAAAACCTTCTATATAAGCGGGTAAAATTTAATAGGATTGAGGCTGTGTTGGGTGAAAAACTATGATATTATATTTCCGCTTTATGATAAACCGACAAAACACGAGGGGTAGCCAAGATGGCTTATGAAAAACTATAGGAAATTTTGTCAGAACTACACTGGAAAACTGTGCAAGAGATTAAGAAATCGAATTCAAAAATATAATTTTCACTAATCACTGCTCTCCGATATGCAGCATAAATTCCCCAGAGACAGGTCCTGCGTGACAAACTTGCTCTACTACCTGAAACACTGTACTCGGGCTCTTGACAGAGGGAATATGGTGCATGCGGTCCATATTGACTTCAAGAAGGCCTTCGATGGTGTGTCTCACCAACACCTTCTGTACAAACTCAGCCGTAAAGAAATCTTTTGGTGAGGATTAAGAGCTTTTTATTCTGCCGCTTTCAAAGTGTCCATATCAGTGACCAGCAGTCCGCGGAGGTTTCTGTTAGGAGTAGTGTTCCCCAAGACTTTGTTCATGGTTTTACTATGTTCAGTATATTCGCCAACGACTGCGTAAACGAACTGGATTTCGATGTCGCAATGTTTACCGATGAAATAAATATCTTGAGCACCATGCAGAATGGATTTGATGAGGAGCGATGGCAGACAAACCCAAGGCGACTCGAGCAATGGTTGAACGACTGGCTCTTGCCGTTTGACGTAAAGAAGTGTAATTCCATACTCATCGGCGCGACCAGTCCTCCTAACCGTATTGTCTACTGCCTAGTTGGCATACCAGTGCAAGAGGTGGACGCCCAGGAGGACTCGAGCGTGTGGGACACAACTTCACTCATGCCTTCGCTGTACTGCTCAAAGGCAGCCGAGTCGGCAAAGTCCATCCAATGCCTGGTCAAACGCACGCTGTCTGTATCTGATGATACTTGCTTCATTAAGGTCTCTTTAATCTTCTTGTGACTGCATTTAAAGTTTGCTATCCAAGCAGGGAGGCCCGGGTGCGCTAAAGACCACAGCATACTCGAAGAAATTTAATGGCGGGTAACCAAACTTTAAACTGGACAGGGCTCACTATCCTACGAAGCGCGGTTACTTGAAATCCGTCTCTTTCCTTTGAGTTACAGGAGGCTGGGGGGTGACGTAATACAAGCTTTCCGCATCCTGCGCGATCAGGACTGCTGCCTCTTATCTGGAGACTTTTTCGAGTTGACGACTACGACCAACCTGAGAAGTTATCCACTCCAATTGCGTGTGACTGGTGCCAAGCTAGACACACGGGGGTTTTTACACGCTAACAGAGTGTATGAAGCTTGGAGGCTGTTGTTGTGTCTGCAGCCGTAGAAGCTTTTAAAAAGAAACTAGATTAATACTGGAGTGCGTACCACAATGCCGTCAGATTACCATTGTCTTGATACCACACGTTAGAAGTTTATGATTATTATGATACGACTGCGAGTATTTAAGTAACGTTTGTTTAGTTAAGTCAACAATGTGTGAACCGCGGCACCACTACTTCCACCCACCATGACGTTAACAGACCACAGATCGCATTACTTCTCCTGTAGCTTAGGTGTGCTTTAAGTCGCTACTGTATTACGCACCTAAGTGAGTACATAAGCCTTGCAACTTTCGGACACCCTCTGCAGGCGCAGATTTGTATCCTAACCGCCCACGAACTCATGGTGTTTGGTCTTCTCTCGGTCAATCCTCCGCCGGTACCCGCGAGGCCTGGAATGGCAGTGTTGAAGGAGCACTCGGATCTTTATTCTGCCATATTGCGATGCTGCTCGTCTCGCCAGCTCCATGTTTAGCAGGTCTTTGTATAAGACACGTTGTTGTCGAGGCACATGTGCAGAAACTGAATCTGTGCATACGTAGGGGCCTCTAGAAGATCGAGGGTTTCCCATCGCCGAGCCGATCAGAGTGCGTCGCGCCCAAACCATTTGCTAATAGAAGCGAAGAGACGAATTAAAGGCAGTAATTACGAAGGAGACACAATCGCTGGAACAAGAGCTTTATTAGCCTGACGTTTCAGACTACCACTCAAATCCATCCCTGGAGACAGTCAGATAAGGGTAGTGGATTGCGCAACGAACTCTCCGGTCCATATCCAGCGCTGAGACTTTGCCTAGGCAGAGTAGTTAGCTGCGAGTAGAGCATGCGGATGACCACTGTTCTTGGTTTCAATATCAGCGAGCCAAATTGCCCGAGTCCACACAGATGACGAAATCCGGAATGCGATGAACGTGGAAGCCGATAACGTAGACCAACACGCACGCACGCGCGCAGCAACTGCATACTCCAACTGATTACTGTCAGTCGGTTTTGAGTTTTCACTGAGGTTCATCAAGAAATAAAGCTAAATAGGAGCAGAAAATCACCCACACTCGAGACCATCTCCAATTATTTCACTGATTTGTTCTCGTAGAGCCGGTAGGCGAACGGCATATCAATGTGCCATTCGCTTCGAGTTACAGAAAGAATGAAATAATAATGACCAGCACCCCAGGATGCACCATGCTGCTTAGGATAGCTCTCCGTCGACAGCAAGGTGTCGGATAAACCATGACCGGACTTACGTTCGGTGTCCCCGACTTGACCCACTTGCACAGCTCAGTGAGGATCCCACGGTAGCCATTCTTCGTTACTTGGGCATTGAGAGCATTTCTCCCGGACGTGACATGTGACGTACTACAGCGCGTTTCGACTGCTGTTGCAATTGATTAAATCACGGCCCACATCGGCCAGTGATGTGTTAGTTGGATCGCTGCCTTGCATTCGTTAAGAACGCGCTAGGCAGGAGCCCCCTGTCAAATCAGCCACTGCGCAGAAGGGCTAAGGAAGCCCATTAATGTGTGGGAAAGGGGTTGTGAGTCCGATATGCATGTAAATTCAACGTATTTTGCAGAATAAATCAGGCGTATCTGGAATTATCGAGACGCGGTAGAGGTCGTATCCGGCAAAGTTACCAGCTGACGAGATAACTCTGTCCTTCTTAGAACGAGGGGCAGACTGCGATGGTCTCCGTGGCAATTCTAACTTCTATTCATGTCTACCTGCAATTCACCTGAATCTATATTACAGGTGTCATGTGCAAAGGGATTGCGGTGGATTAAGACCACATTCATCTTACCACAGGCAAGTTTCTGCGCCAGCACCGCTGCTTAAGAGAACCTCTCCGTTTCCGATGGCTGGACTACCTGTTACTGTTGAGTTAACAATCTATGATTTGTTCGTAGCAGTTGCAAATAGGAACGTCGGAAGGAAAACTATCGTTTGCTTTGCCACGTGGATGAAAAGGTGGTTGTTAGGATATCAGGAAAAACTGAACTCAGGAAATTGCGACAGCGACCTACTTCTCCTGATGGCGAAGAAAGTGTGGCGCAAATTAATACCAGAATTCTCGTTT